TTATATTATTAAGCTACAATCAAATCATTATTTTTAGTTACTTTCAGAAGTAAATATCTCCATATAAATAAATAATTTCGATAAATAAATGATATAATTTATTCAATTTTTTCTCAAATCTGTACATATGTTTTAGCAGATTTTAACTTGTTAGACATTCCGACTTATTAGCTGTTTCTATTAAGAACGAAGAAAATACAAATTAAAGGGTACATTACCCATTGTATTAGAACAGCTGTGAACGTTTTAATAGACCAATTTTGYCTTGATATACAGTACTAAATACCATAATTAAGTGGAAAACTTTTTGATCGTGCTATATTTGTTTACTGATGTATCCTTAATAAAAATCGAACTACANATACCATAATTAAGTGGAAAACTTTTTGATCGTGCTATATTTGTTTACTGATGTATCCTTAATAAAAATCGAACTACAGCTTTTTGCAAACAACTGTTACGTAAAATTCGTGCAACAAATTAACTCCCRAAACTGCAAAATTATATCACAATTATTTTCTATGGTACAACTTTATAACTTTCATATGTAAATTATGATTCTTGTCTTTATGGTTTAGAAATTGCAATTTTTGTTTCTGGACTAATTTCTACCTTAAAAATACAGGGACCAAAACAATACAAAATTGTAAACTACAGAGACTGAAACAACAATAAATCATAAATCATAAGAACAATAATAACAATGAATTACAAACTATAKAAATGAAAACCGTAACTTTTAGATCACGAAAATAAAAACCATAATTTTTAACAAACCATAGGGACAAAAACGTAATTTTACATTAAATTAAATGATTGAAAATATATTAGTGCATGTAATTACTATGATGTAATAAAGATAACAAATTTGGTTATTAAAACATAATACTTTAAAGAGTAAATTACAAATTTGGTCCCTATGGTTTGTTGAAAATAACATTTTTTTTCCTATAGTTTTGAAAATAGAGGACCACCGTGGTTTGAAAAAGCGTCCAAATTTGGTCATTTGGCCGACTAGCCCATCCAAATGACTAGAAGTAGAAAKTTTACCCGTTAAAGCGGGTACCAACCCTAAAGGAGCGGGGATTCCCCGATTTGACAGGTAACAGGACAGAGAAGATGATTTATTTTCATGCCCGAAGCGGGGTTGGGGATGACATTATCCGCCCTTAATTGGAACCCAATTAATTTTTTTTTCTTTTATTTGATATATATATATATATATATTGTGTGTGTGTGTATATATATATATATATTTGTTTATACACATACATTTATTATATACATTTATTATTAAATGATAAATATATTTGATTTTCAATATTGGTAATWAATGTAGTGACAATTCATTATAATTTTAAAATACATTGTTTTTTGCTAAACGAGTACTCAACAGATTCCCGGGATCATCAGGATTCCTTCCCGCAAACCTTTCAAGGATTAGTTGAGGTGGGGTAGGGACTTAAACAAGGGTCAGGCACATGGAATACATTACCCGCCACATTCATCCCTACAGATGACCCAAACAAACCATTTAAGAAAGCTRGCGTCTAAAGACACAATGACCTAAAAATGATCTTGGTTCATAAAACAGAGCAATGCCTAAAAAATTTAACAATACGAGCTTAAAAACATGAACAATGGACATGACTTGTAACCAACTCGAGTACAGAGGTTTCGGTCTCCGTGATTCAAAAARAAAAGACGCCTAAAACACTTAAATGGTCTCTTAACACTTTTTTTTTATTAACCTGGATATCCAACCCGCTATGCGAGCCGACTAATCCCAGGACGACTATCTGCTTTTGCAGATAGTCCGGAGTCACTTTTATTCTACTCAACACTTGAAACCCTTCTTCACTACAGATTTTGTCTTGCGTAAGGGGTGGTCGTTTTTTGCATCAAAAGCAGATCAAAGGGTTTAAAAATTTTACATTCGTATTTCTAATATGGTTTATAACTCAATTAAGACTTAAAAGTCACAGAACCTAACGKCAAGCGTTCACCATTGTTCGCCATAGAATCTTCATTTTTACGGCATAACCCTTCGATTTCGTGTACTTTTAGTGAGTTTTCGTTACGATATCTATATGAAATTCGATAATTTATTTAGATGTTTTTCTACATATAAAATATATACTACATTTGATTTTGGGCTGCACTTTGGTTAAAAAGCATCCACAGGCCCAGGCCCAGGCCCAGGCCCAGTCCCAGGCCCATATTTTTTAACTTTCTTGACTAAATTACGTTTGTAGTCCTTATAATTTGTTAAAAATGACTATTTTCGTTGTTGTAATTTTAAAATTACAATTTTCATCCTTATGTTTTACAATTTATGATTGTTTTTATTATTATAATTAACAAATTATATTTGTTTTTCGTTCTTCTAGTTTATAATTTACTATTGTTTTCATTTCTCATACTTAAAGGTAGAAATTACCGAATTAATATAAAGGACTAAAATAGTAATGAATTGTAAAATACATAGAYGAAAACATGAATTTTTAAACCATAGGGTCAAAATTCGCAAACTTTAACAAACCATAGGGACTAAAAAAGCATTTTACTTAATAGTTTCCTTTTTCTTTTGGTTTAATTGCACTTTGCCCCTTATAGTGTTGGTTATCCTCTTACGCACCCTATACTTTGTTTTCATTAGATGTCGAGTGTGGATCGCGCTCATCCCAGTCTAAACTCCATCTGATCAGTAATCATATCAAGAAATCCCTCCAACTCTGTGAACGTTCGACCCAATAAGTGATTTCACTATTGCCATAGTCATTGCTTGTTCCTTTTCCTTGGAATGTCTTTCTTTGAGTCGAAATGGCCAAGCCCATTTGATAACATTAGAGTTTATGCCCAAAAGGTTGTTGTTCCTAAAAGAACTTTGCGTTTAAAGTGTTTGATGAAATGCAGGAAGAATTTGGTGGGTTGGGATGACCGAGTGATGGTTCCGTTTAAAGTGTTTGATGAAATGGTTGGGAATGACCAAATGATGGTTGCGATTAAAGTGTTTGATGAAATGCCGGAGGAATTTGATGGGTTGGAATAACCTAGTGATGGTTGCGTTTAAAGTGTTCGATGAAATTACAGGAGAGGAATTTGGTGGTTTGGAATGACCAAATGATGGTTGCATTTAAAATGTTCGATGAAATGCCGCAGAGGAATTTGCTGGTTTGGAATGACYGAATGATTGTGGGAGTTGCGTCACCGTCGTGGTGGATCTTGAAGTGACTACTTGAATAGTTTAGGTCAAAGGGAAGCAARTCCATGCAAGGATGATCCATAAATATCAACAATTGGTGATGCTGACGTGTAGGTTTTAGCCTACGTGGCACTTGTGTGCCGGTCAGAGACGATGATACAGAAAAATTCAAGTGATGACACCATTTGATTATTTGAGACAAAATATATGGATATTTTTCACAAAATCATCGTTGATACGGTAGTTCATAGGACCAACCTGTATTGCAATTTTTATCAGAAACATAATAAATTTGAAATTAAAAGTTAAAAACTAATTAAAACGAAGGATTTTCCTTTAAACTTGATTTTTCATATATATATATATATATATATATATGTGGTTGACTTAAGAGGTGGCAAAATTGGTAAAATTATCTGGCAAATGGTTCCCACGTTTTCCCCCTTCAAATTCTCTATTGCTTTCTTGGCAAATCCTTTGGAAACATGCCATTTTGCCAATTTCCATSTCTTCCAATTTTCTTTCTCTTTCATCTTATTTGATTGATCTTTGAACATCTCTCATTTGCCATTCTTTTGGATCAAATACTAATTGTGAAATTCATATGGGTGTGTGTTCTAATCTTTCTGAAGGTTTGATGGTGATAAATAGGCATGTTTCAATCTGTGRGTGTAATTTGATAGAAAGATTTGATGGTTCTTGAACAATTTGATGTTAAAGTTTGCATTTTTCTTGAAGAATTGGGGTGACACCATCATGCATATATTCTTCTGATTTTGGGTTTCTGAAAGTCTCTAAGCATCTAACTTGACCGAAAACATGAGGTGTTTTTCGTGTTTTTCGTAYCGAGAAAAAAGAATATCGAAAAGGCAGGCGAGTCGCAGAGAGAGAAGCCCCGTTGTACCTGATCCACCTCCTCAAGAACCTCCTCCATCTGGTATGCATTTTTTATATGTACATAATATTTATATATAACAAATACTCATGCACGGTTTAAACTATTGGCCTCCTAAGAGGCCAAACTCTAATGATAATCCGGGTACTGCTGGACCATTGACCCCTATGAATGACCTCACAAGGGCGGACCCACTATGGTGCAACGATGGCACGGGCCACAACTTCGTCCGTCCATGAAATATAAAAGGATTTAGGGTTGTGAAAGGGGCCACCCAGTAGCGGACACACCCTTTTTGGGGTGGGGAAAGGCGCCTGTGAAGCCAAAATCTTAACAAAAATATAAAAAAGTTGCCACAAATTCTCTCTATTTACAATATGGGCTCCCATTGTTTTTGGCTTTGTGCCCTACGAGAGTTTCCGACGATCAATGAGTTCAACCAATTTATAGAGAAGTAAAATAAATAAAATCATAGTATAATGTGTTATTCRGTTTGACCGAAATAGTAAAAAACTAACTGAGATTTAACCTACAAAACGCATAACCCGCCACTGAGGCCACATATTCTTTTGTTCGTTGCATCCGTATATTTCTTGAAACTAAAATAATAACACAAGTTTTTCTYAGTAGAGTTGGTTTGCACGGTYTTTTCTCTCCTTCTAGGTTTCAGGCGTGGGTTCGAATCCCATTTGTATTATATTTTTAGTTTTTAGCTCTTAATTTCATATTTATTATGTTTCTGACAAAATTTGGGATAAAAAACTCTTGAACACAGGACCTCACAATTCACATACAAAAAAATAAGAAATTAACCAACAAATAAACGATGATTTCGTAAAAAATATCTATGGCTTCCTTTTTTATAGTCAAATGATGCCACCAAAAAATTTATAGGTCYGCCTCTGCCTTCGATGGTATGCATTTCCTCCTTGGAGGCTGGGTTCTACTGATGACGTGGTATTGTTGGCCCATTGACCCTTTCGTGTTATGYCTTATTTTTCAAGAAAAGTTATAGCCACCATCGTCGGTCTACCGAACTCGGGTGAAATTGGTGATTTTCGAAAGRTTTACTCTTTTTCTTTATGGGATCATATTGAAGATCGATTTTGATTTACAGATGTTCGAAAKATTTACTCTTTTTCTTTATAGGATCATATTAAAGATCGTTTTTTATTTACATTTCACAACAGTCTTCAAATTTCTTCTAGTAAAGAATCAAGGATTTTCCAATCTTTTTGGAGGCCYTGTTACACTTAAAGCTTTTGATTACACTGCAAAATAAGATAACAAAGATACATAGATACAAATTACAGACATGACGATGAGGCGTATTCATTTTTTCTTCCGATAGAARTTAGAGAAGCACTTAGATGAACTATAATTTTACATTCGTTAATGAAAGGCCCTAAACAATGTAAAATTAGKCCCSAAAATTTTGGACACCCTKTTSAAAATCATACATTTAACATGCTAAAGAACRGCCCTAGAATGCCCTTTTGACAATGATTATCACCTTAAAAAAATTATGGTTTTTCGTCTCTGAATTTCTATCTCATTATCGCGTTTCATTTGCGCAGAGAATCCAATTCAACGACGTGGTCCACCAGAAATCAAGATTCTGAAACCTGCTTCCCCTAAGAGGACAAGCCACGAAGCTCCCCGTAACCAAGCTCCCATCAAAGTAGCAGCCGGCAACGATATTGCAGCTCAAACTTTCACTTTCCGTGAGCTGGCTGCCGTAACAAAGAACTTCCGGCAAGATTCCCTCATCGGTGAAGGCGGATTCGGGCGGGTTTATAAAGGAAGATTGGGTAAAACTGGCCAGGTGAATATGCACTTATTGTTGCTTTCCCTCCTTTGTTATGTATTTGGTTTTTTAAATGACTGTCTTGGTCAGCTTGTGTGTATCTCGACTAATCCCATAGAACCTGAAGATAACAATCAGAAAAATCCCTAGCGACCCTGAGTAGATTTAGGGGATGTTTGTTTGATTTTCCATTAAGGGGTTGTTTCGTTGGTTTTTTTAACAAGTCATGTATGGATAAGGTTGTTTGTGTGGATTAATCTGTTTGTATAGAAGGGGAAGGTTTTTTCATTGATGGAAGGGCGTGTTTTTTATTCGGAGGGACAGGTTTGGAAAGAAAAAAAACTTGGCTTTCTGCATAAAGCTCCCTCCTAAAAGTTTACCAAATAAGCCACTTTCTATATCATTAAGCTATTACCAAACAATCATGTATAGCTAACCGAATAAGTTGAGTCTCATTAAGCTGCTAACAAACAAGCCTTAGATCCTATATGGATAAAGTTGTCTGTATAAATTGATTTTTTTTGTTTGGAAGGGTTTTCTCATAGAAAGAAGGAGCATGTTTCTTAATTGGGAGGGATAGATTTGAGAAAAACTTGGTATTCTACAAAAAAAACTCCCCCTATAAGTTTACTGAATAAACCACTTTCTATATCAATAAGTCATTCCCAAACAGTCATGTATAGCTGACCGAATACATTGCTAGTCCTATTAAGCCTGTTAAGCTGCTAACAACAGGCCTTTAAACTGACGGCCTATAGGGAGGAAGCCAAGACCCGACCTTTATTTATTTGGTTTAGTGATCGTTATTATGGGATACTATTGATCGTTTTGGTTCAGGTTGTGGCCGTGAAGCAACTGGATCGCAATGGGGTGCAAGGAAATCGGGAATTTCTAGTAGAGGTTTTGATGTTGAGCCTTCTTCACCATCCAAATTTGGTGAGTCTAATAGGATATTGTGCAGATGGAGATCAAAGACTTCTCGTRTACGAATATATGTCCGCAGGTTCCCTTGAAGATCATCTACTCGGTAATATTTGCCTCTGATCTATTAGGGTGCATTTGGTACACCGAACATAACAGATAGTGAAACATGCTTGTTCCACCCCCACCCATGGAACAAGGTGGAAAAAACCTATATTTTACCGGTATAACATCAAAATAAAACTTAATTTATTTCTAAAACATCAAATACGGTTTCTCTCTTTTCGAATCTTCTTTCTTCAAATTTTATTTATTGTATTTTATGTCTTTAAACTTTTACTTTACTGTCCTCAAAATATTATTTTTATACGATTTCTATATTTTGGTTAATTTATGTAATTTATTAAATATTAATAATAAAAAGAATAATATAGAAAAGGTATAGAATAAAAATTGGAAAGTACATAAACTTTTTTCTTTTTGACCAAACATAAACTTTTTATGTTCTGTCTTGTCCATTCTCGTTTTACCAAGTGCTGAAAAGTTGTTCTGTCATGTTCCATCTGGTATCAAACGCACCCTTAGGGTGCTTTTAGTACATGTGACAGGACAATACAGAACTAAGTGAAATAAAAATTAGGGAGACCGGACAAGATTGATAAATTGTTGACTACACATATGAAACTAAAACCTTAAACCTTTAACAATTCTTCCATGAACGTACTTCACWCTCGCATGTCCTGTCTAGTCCCATCCGCATACCAAATGCACCCTATGAACTCTTGTATTTCATTTCATTACAAGGGTTTGTCGTCCCTGATGTAAAATGACCATGATACCCTTGTCACGAAGCATACGATCATAGTCTAGTCCACATTCAGGAAGTTTCTCATGATAGATTACGATTTCGAATCCAGATCTTCCGCGAGGAAAAGCACCACTAGCTTGGTCCACGAGGATGAAAATCGCGTTGCATGCCGCAAAAGGTCTAGAGTACTTGCACGATAAGGCTAACCCCTCTGTTATTTACCGTGACTTGAAGTCTTCCAACATCTTACTCGATCAAGATTTCAATGCCAAACTATCTGATTTCGGGCTAGCCAAGGTTGGACCCGTTGGTGATAATTCGCACGTGTCCTCGAGAGTGATGGGAACGTAYGGGTATTGTGCGCCCGAGTATCAAAGAACGGGTCAGTTAACCGTCAAATCCGATGTTTACAGCTTTGGAGTTGTCTTGTTGGAGCTCATCACAGGAAGGAGAGCCATTGATACAAGAAGGAGAAATGCAGAGCAAAATCTTGTTTGTTGGGTAATTACTAATCTACCCTTTTCACTTGCACTCTTTCACAAGTCGGAGGTCTTTAGGAAAACTAGGGGTGTTCAAGAAAACCGTAAAACCGAGCCAAACCGTTTGGTCGAAATCGAAAAAACCGAAAGACCCCGGGTATTCATGGGTCATTTTTTCGGTTTTAAATTATAGGTACCCGCGGGTACCGATCCGAACCAATATATACTACGATCAATAATATTATATTTAATATTAACTATATAACAGATCATCGAAAACCGACGATATAGCAGCCAGCAGTGTCATATGGCATTACCCTCGGAGCTCTAATTGATGTTATGTTGTTGAACAGGCAGAGCCGATTTTCAAGGAGCCACGAAGGTTCATCGAATTGGCTGATCCACTGATGAAAGAGGACTTCCCGGTTAAAGGTTTGAACCAAGCGGTAGCGGTTGCAGCCATGTGTCTCAACGAYGATGCATCGTTCCGACCGTTGATGAGCGACGTGGTTACAGCCCTTGCTTTCCTTGGTGAAAAAGCTGACGAGATGGATTTCGCTGATTCTCCCTCCGAACCATCGGGATCGCCATCTCGATCTTTATCTTGTCGGAATAATCCGGACAAGGCATCGGCTAGTGATCGAGAAAGAGCGGTGGCCGAAGCCAGGGAATGGGGTACGAGTTCTCGGACCAACATGATGAAAYCGATGGTTTAAAATTGTTCGTGCATGGAATGACATTAATCGATGTGTTGGATCTTCGAGATCGGATGAATTGTTTCGTAACCGATGGCACGAAATTGCTTTTAAAGCTTGTGGAACTATAGCTAGTTTTGTTCGAGTAAATTTTGATCATAAATATGTATATTCAATTATGTTGTTTCAATCAGGTTGGGCATATGATTTGTGAAAGTATGTGAAACGGGTACGGGAAAGAACTCACGGTCCCTACGTTTTGTGCAACATGGGATAGGACAAGAACTCATGGTTTCATATTTGGTGCGACGTGAGACAAGGACGAACTTGGACAAGATGAGAGAGTGTGAGATAAAAAGGGTTTTTTCTTGTTCCACCAAAATAAGTGGAACAAGATGGGATAAGAATGAAATAGAAACTAAAATATTATTAATCAACTCTCGTTTGTTATATAACCTTAATATGATATTTGTTTTAGTGATCACCATTGCTAATGGCGGCAGCCGCCACCACCAGTAGCCACCATCGGCCACCTCCACCTCCTTCTCCACTACAACAATCTCCTTCACCACTGTCCGTCGTCACCTCCATAACCACCGTCAACCACCTGAAAACTTCAACATCCAATTTGGATCGGTCGATTCTCGGATGGCAGTYCAGAACCGACCARAACCGAACCGATCAACATCCAATTAATCATACAGATTACCATCCAGTTGTCCRTCCAACCATTATCTAACTATCATTCAATTAATTTATTTTCAAATTGTTTAAATCGGAATTTGTTTTATGTGATGTTTTGAATTTTTAAATTCTCTTGTGTTAGGTTTTAACACATATTAAAARTGATTAATCAATTTGTATCATTGTTGAAKAATTAGATTGAATTAACACACCGGATGGATCTACTCCCAACGGATCATCCATTGGATATCCAATAAAAGTATCCAATGGATGGAACCGAACCGGTCCAATCATCCATTTGATATCCAATAAAAGTATCCAATGGATGAAACCAAACCGGTCCAATCATCCATTTGATTAGATTGGATTGGATAGGTTATCTAATATTAATCAAATCAAATTGGTGGCAAAATCTAACATCTAATAGATGCTTGGATCTGTTTGATTCCATTCATATCCAATGAATATTAACCGATTAACAGAGGTAGTTTCAAGCGGTACAGGGATTAACATCTTGTTCACGTTCAAATTCCGGTCAAACTCCATGAAGAATATTCATTAGTTTGAGTCTATCTGGRATCCCCAGCCTCAACCCTGGTTTGAGTAACAGCTCCTGGCCCCGGCCCCAACCCCAGTTTGAATCTACTGGAGACCCCCGGTCCCGAGACCCATTTTAACGGGGAATCCTCGTCCCTGTTCAGGGCGGGTGAGGCGGGTTCCACCGGATCGGGGCAATCACCATCCTTATTTGTTTCGATGTTTTTCTAAGAATTATGTGGGTTTTCATTTTACTACATTTTGTGAATCATTTATAAATATATAAAATAAACTTTTTAAAAATATATTTTATATATCAAATATTATTTATTAAATTATATTACTTAAAATTCAATATTACAAGTTGATTAAACATAATTACAATTTATTAAAGTTTCATGTTAAACTCGTGTAATTAACTGCATATAAACATAATAAATACTAGATAAACACTACAATATGAAACACTTGCTTTTATTTGCTAAAATTTCTAAAATTTTAAAACTATTCATATAACTAACTGATAAACACAAAAAAAACCAGAGATAAAACACCTCATTTTTTTTTTATTAAAGTAGATTATCTCTTTAATTTTAAATATAAAATATCTTAAATATAATTATCATTTAAATTAAACGATCTTTGAACCCTCACAAAATACTCTATCATTATTTATATAAAAAATCATAATTAAACTAAAATAAAATACATTTTATTTTAAATCTAAACTATAATAAAAATTAAATTAAATAAATTAACTAAGAAATTAAAATTTTATTATCTTTAGTTTAAAACCCATATTAATACATATTTTAAGATAAAGTAATAACCAACTCATCTTTAGCTTTCTAAAAACCGTAAAATAAAACCAAGAAATAAAATCAACAGAACAATATATGAATCATGATTGAGGGTTCAAATTCTAGATTTTAAAACCGTTGTATTGCACAGATACACTTCTAGTACATCTAAAACCGTGAGCTTAAGTTGAGTAAAAACCTCAAAAAATTTACTCGATTTTAATAATAAAATAGTCAGATTAATCTAAAAATCCAACGCATCTCTCGGTTTTGGTCTTTTTGTATAACCTTGGTTTAAATATCAGGTCCACGAGTTCTTTGTATGCTCCGTACGTATAGTTGACATGGTCTCACGGCCAAAGAGAATATTCTCGTTACTGAATTTGAAAAGGATGTAATTGATATATAATTTAGGGGTTTATATCAAAAGTTATGGATAACCGTAGAGATAGAGAAGTTTAATTGAGATAATAAATCTGAAAAAAATTACTAATTTTTTATTAAAATGTTGATTGAATAAAAAGACTATTATACCCCTAAAATATTATTACGACAAGAAAAAAATGCAAACCGTAAATTTTGTTTGGGAAAAAAAACTACAAACTATAATTAATAACTTTAATTAACAAAAATATAAGGGGAAATTACTCGTACAAGAGAGAGAACCCGGGTAGACTTTTGAGGCTGTTACAGATTACCCGTACCCTTATTTTATTTTTTTTAAGTATATAATATATTCTATATACGGTAAATGGAACAAATAAACTCACATCTTCCTAACTTACACCCTCTTCATAATTAGTGATGTCTGAACCCCTGACCTCTTAGAAGGCAAGAAATTTAGATACCGCTAAGTCAAATGCCCTTTAGTCTCGTATCCCTACTTTATAGATCTGATTTAGGGTTAATATGGATTTGTGGTTTTTTATTTATTTAGATACATGGTTCATCATATTTGGGTTTTTTTTTCCGATAAGAAGATGAAAATGAAGATTTTTAAAAAAAAAAAGTAAATTACATTTTTGTCCTTATGATTTGTTAAAATATGCAATTTTTGTTTTTATGGTTTAGAAATTACGGTTTTTTGTTTATATGTTTTGTGTTTCGTTGTTATTTATGTCTTTATAGTTTACTGGTTGTGCACCCGCGCAATGCGGTGGGAGCCATGAATTTTAACGATTTTGAAGTTACACTGGTTTTATAAGATAAGATTTAATGATGATATAGGTTACACTTGGTCTTTACATATTAATATAATTTGAATAAATAAGAGTTATGGTTCTAATTACAGACTATCGATGAAAAAAATTGTATGATACTTTAAAATCCAATATATTTAAAATCCAACATATTTAAATGACTCCACAAATGTGTTCGATTTACACCAAGAGCAAAGAACCAAGAAACTTGAGTTTTAAGATAAACACTTAAAACCAATAAAAAACTACAAATTTGACAGATCATAAGCCATGAAAAGACAAAAAAAAATGGGTTTTATAATGAAATTTCAACTGCTTACCCCCTTTCTTGTCCAGAAACTCAGATTAAGGTTGAATTAATACATGTATATATATATATATATATATATATATCCAAGAACATATTAATTCAGAACATATTATGCAATTTGGATAGCCTAACCCCAAAATAATATATATATATATATATATATATAAATAACTATAAAAGTAAAAATCGTAAATATTAAAAATATTTTTTTCATAGTATATATAATATATAATAATATAATTAAGTAAAAAACTATTCAATATTGGACTCATTTCGAAGGTATTAACGAGACGATTATAAATGGTGTAACTTGTTAAAATAGAATTGTATTTTTTAAACATGTTTTAATTGATATACGATTATGTATGTTAATTTGATAAATGTTTAAAATGAAACATTTAAAAGTAAATGACGTAAAGTAAATTAATTAATTATAAGGGTATAAAGTGTAAATTTAAAATTGTAATTTTAAAAAAAAATCGGTTGTGAAAGGGTGAGTGTATGTGAGGATAGGAGGGGGTGAAAAAATAGTATAAAAGATATCTTGGTCATTTAGTATTTTAAGACTTTTACTAAATTTGTTTAATAAGATAGTATAAATAATTTATTGTTATTTTGGTTCTTGTGGTTTACAAGTTTTCACTGTTCTGATCTCATATAGGAATTAATCCAGGGACGAAAATATCAGTAAATTGTAAACCTATAGAGACAAAAACCACAATTATTTAGGCAAAAGATTTGATTACCGACAACCTCAACCAGCTCCACATGGAACCTGTCTCCAAGGACACTAATATGAGGGGACATTTTTTTTTTTTGCCATTGACGTGTAGCTCGGTTGGTAAATTGGTGGAATAAAGATGTTATAATAACATTTGTAACTACCTTTTCCACCAATACAACCATAATCTATACCGTCCAATTTATTTTATTTTCAATTTATTTTAAATGGTAGTCTGTAACTATCTTTTTTACTTCATCAGATGTTGATCTTAGATGAACTAACTGATGGTTAGCATGAGGTTACATTGGTTGTACAAATGGAATATGTTGCACAATAAACAATGTGTATATATATATATATATATATATATATATATAAGACGATAATCAAAAGAGAACCATACAAAAACTGAGAACTGTGAAAACAAATCTCAACCGTTTATTGATTAACATATGGACATGAAACACAATGTCAAATTTGACATAACTTAGAAATTTAGAGTTTATTATGGACTAAATCTGAAATTTGAAGGGCATACTAGGTTTTTAAACGGGTTTCATCGAGCCGACCCTTGACTTCATCATCCCGATCGCATCCATCGTCCACCGCCTCTGGACTCAATTATCCACTATCGTCTTCCAATAACCGCAACCTTTGATTGCCTTCAAGTCGACTTTACTTGGCGACGCTGGAAAGGTGAGTATAAACCCAAACAACCTTGTTTCCTTGAAGACGACAACGACTTGCTTCCACTATCAGCCGTGACTTCTTATCTTCATAGAAAAACCACCATAACACCATTTCCTCTCAAGACCTTGAAGATATGTAAGAGTTTTATATATATATATATATATATATATATATATATATATATATATATATGACAAGA